AAAACCCGAACCGAACCGTGCCGAACCGTCCCGTAATGGTACCGAACGGAATACCGGGTATTTAAACGGTTCTATAGATTTTTATCCCGTACCGAAACCGTACCATTTGAAACGGGTACGAGACCGGTCCTAGATTTTGAGAACCGAAAAATACCGGACTGAACCGTTCGAAAATAATGCATTTGAATTTTTTATATTTTTTCTATACCAATAGATCTCTTTTATAGACCAAAAATTTTATAGCCCAAGTATGTATTCATGTGTCCCTAAGATATTTAAATCTGTTTATATATATATATATATATATATATATATATATATATATTGTTATTTTTTCTCTTTAGATAATTTATGTTACATTTTGGTATGTATTGAAAGAATATTAAAATTTTAAAAATCATTAATGACTATTCATTTCTAGTAATGTAGTGTACATGACTTTTTGTTGTATCATGTTTGTGAAATTTTTACAACTTAATTAATATGATTTAAATCTTAGCTCTCAAGGTTCAACTATAAATTAAATTAGAACTACGGAGTAATATTTAACCTAGAACGAAAAAGAAGAACGTTGAAGATTTCTATTATATATAACAATTTGATGATATTCGTTTTTATATTTTCACATGAACTTAGTAAATTAAAGATGATATTTATCTCGGGCGTCATCGTTTTGCTATACTTTTCTTAGTTATGTTGCACTTATTTGTGTGTTTGTGAATTTTAGTACTCCGTACTACGTATGCAATATCTTGTATTTATATCAACATTTCATGTGAGTTGGTGGGTATGATGATATCTACTAATTGCAAAATTTGTTCAAATTTTTAGCATGTGTTTGACATTGTATCGTACCGTTTCGTACCGTTCCGAAATGACATGGTACCGAACGGTTCTGTTCGTGGAACCGGACCGTATCGGACCGTTAAAAACCTCACGGATATATTACAGATTTTACCAATTTACCGGACCGTTCCGGACCGCACCCACCCCAAGATCGAGCAATGTTATTATCAGGTACTCGTATCATTTTTCCCACACTCAACAATCGGCACGATTTCCAACAAGAAAATTTGAGCGTCACAATAATTAATATTTTGTTTTAATTATATCTCTCTTCTTTTTGGTGTATCATTAAGAGGCCGTTTGGCAACCCTCATTTTCGGCTTATCAGGTTTATCAGCCAACTTTTTTACCAAACACGTAAATTTTGCTTTCGCGCGCTGAATTGTGTAATAAGCCGAAAAAATAAGGTTGGAGTTACTTTTCTGACTGTATTGGCTGAAGTTACTGTAGATGACAATTTAGCTATTTTACATATAATTTTTTCTTTATTTTATTAATAAAATATATTTCAAAAATATTTTTTTCTTGTATCAGCAGAATCAGCCAATGCAGCCACTTCAACCAGAACTTCATAAATTTCAGCAGAATCAGTCAGAACAATTGATTTTGGTGCTGCCAAACGGGCTCTAAACTTTTCCAAAACATTTTTTTGGAGCGAGTATAGTACCGTTTACCTTGCCGACTGGGTTGAATTTAAGTGACTGGGTGAATTGTCCAACCTGCATAGCACCAAGCAGGCAAGGGATAGGAAAGCCATAGCAGCGCCGCCCCTGGACGGAACAAAATCGTCTGGGCATAAATTCTAGCGCGTGAATTAATATGGTCAAGGTCAATGGCTGACTTATCAATCATGTCATTAGGTGCGGCACAAGCGTACGTACTATTTTGTTTGGCTTGCGTGGGAATGGCTGTTAGGGGGTGTAGTCCATTGAATAACCATCCACCCTCAAGTCTCTCATTTGTGGGAGATCTTGGGTTCAATTCTCACCAAGACGAGATGTGGTGGGGAACGGGTTCGTGTGGTGAGAGGAGCAACCTGAAAGGTGATGTAAGCAGTGGTGGATCCAGAAACTCAGAATCACGGGGTCCCTACTGTAATGTAACTCGAATTAATAAAAAATTAATAAAAAGAAGAAGTAAAATATTAAAATAGCATAACGTTTCATAGTTAACGTATACAACAATTTTAAAGATATTCCAAAATTTTAAAGAAATGTCCACTATCAACTAGAACTCGTTTGGTAACACTGAAATCGGCTGAATCGGCTGATTCTACTTAAATTTATGAAGTTCTGACTGAAGTGATTGTATTGGCTGTTTCTGCTGATTATGAAAAAAATAATTTAAAATATATTATATTAATAAAATAAAGAAGAAATGATATGAAAAAATAGATAAAATGGTCATCTACAACAACTTCAGTCAATACAGTCTGAAAAGTAACTTCAGCCTTATTTTTCTTATTATTACACAATTCAGCGTGTAAAATCAAAAGTTACATGTTTGGTTAAAAAGTCTGTTGATAAGCTTGATAAGCCGAAAAACAGAGTCACTGAACGGACACTAAAATTTTATAAAGTTAATGTCCTCTATCAACTAAAAAAATGGGCATGCATATGAGAAATCAAATTCAAAAAAGCCTACATTTGAAAATTTCGATCCAATTACTTCGCATTATTTTATTTGGATTTTTATTTAAAATATATTCATTAGCATTTTTCTATTTTAATTTAATACAATTACCAATTTATTTGTGTAACTTTAAGGACTTTGTTATTGGATTGATTTTAGTCTTAAATCAAACCATATCAAGCCAAATCATGCGATTATGGCTCAAGCGACTGAATATGCTATATTAGGAAAGAATGATATTTAAATTATATGTTATAAGATACGAAAAAAGTCATATGAAAAAGTGGCTAAGATGATGGTCTACGGTAACTTCAGTCATCTCGTCAAAAAAATGTTTTTAACTTGCTTATTTTAATTATTACAAATTCAGTGCGTGAATTCAAGAATTACGTGTTTCATGACGAAATTAGTTTATAAAAAAGATAAGCTGAAATTTGAGAATACATACTTGTTTATAGTAGTATTATTTCTTATGGAAAAAATTGGGCATAGGTTGAGAAAATTAGATTACAAGTTGGGCGATAGAGGTGCATGATAACAATAGGTTGATCCTTGGACCTCTACACGTGTAAAACTATAAGATTGAACCTCCAACCATTGTTCTAGCTCTGTATTTGTGTTCTAAACCAGTTTCGATCGATTGTATAAACACACTGATTACTTAATTTTATATAAAATATATACAAATATATATAGGTATTTTTTTGGAGGTCCATGGGGTCCCGGGACCCCGTGGGACCCTTAGTGGGTCCGCCACTGGATGTAAGTCCTGCTGGATTCGTCTTTTGAAGCCAGTACTGACGAGGCTGACTGTGATCAAATCCGGATTTCATTGTCTAGGAGCTTTGGAGGGTAGTTCATAGACTCCAGGATTATGAGAGCCTAAGCCCCGACATCTGAATTATAAAAAAAGGAAATTACAATGTTGTACGGGTTGAAATCTCCAATACACCTATTATTAAAAGAGTTGTATTGAGATTTGAGCTTCAATTTAGGGCACACATAGATGAAAGTTACATCAAGATGACTTGCATCTCTAAAAAATAAATTATTTGAGATCGTATCATGAAATTGTTCTCTATCGTTTTGTGGTGTGGGACACCGGTTAAGGAGGACAATTTCAAAAAAAAGGATGATACTCCATCCCTGAAAATCCCCCAACACCGATCGGACAGTTAGATGAGAGGATCGATGTAAATTGGACTTTAATCACAAGTTAGTAGACATAAAGTGGAGCTCTGGCTATAGTACTTTCAGAGATCCTATGCATTTTAGCATAGTAACCTGTCATCGCAGTTGTCGGGATTCGAACCTGAATCTTACCTCTTGTGACACCCCCTATCTACCAGTTGAGATAAGCCCACTAGTAAGGTGGACAATTTCACTTTGGCTTGATTAAACATGAATGATAATCATTCAAATATTAAGTACTACATCTGTCCCTTTTTTATTTAGTCATTTTTTTACTTTTCCAGTCAAAGATGATAAATTTTGACCAATTATTTTAATTAATATATTTATATAAAATTTAATAATTTTATATAAATATAGGACATGAGAAGGTGACGCGGTTATTAAGGAAAGTAAGTTTATGTGATTGATATTAATTTTATCAATCCCTATTTTTAGGGATTCTACATTAATAATCCCTACTAAGAGTGTTCATAAAAATAATTCGAACTAGGAATAGTGTCCACGTGAATAAATTGGTGTGAATTCAAATTAATGCATGTTTAATACTTCCACCTCCTACCACTTTTTCCTTACCACTCTTCTTCTCGGGTAACACTTCTATTTTCCAACCTAGAGATAATCAAGTATGGCAGAAATGATATTGAGATTAAATGAGTTTTTAGTTTGAATTCACCCCGAGAAGAAGAGTGATGGGTAAGAGAAAAGTGTGAGTAGAAGCTGAGGGTATTAAACAGACATTAATTTGAATTCACTCCAATTTATTCTTGTGGTCACTATTGTTAGTTCACATTATTTTTATGAACAATCTCAGTAAGGATTATTATTGTAAAATCTCTAAAAATAGGAATCATTCTTATGAATTTCGCCTAATTAAATTGATGAAATATGAATAAAGTACGAATGATTTAGGATGATTTTACTTGGACAGTTTTTAGTCCCATACCACACCTAATCAGACCAGACCAGACTTAAACAGATCAGACCAGTTCAGACAAGACCAGATCAGACTTCCATAGTTACAAAATACATAGAGATCCAACATTTTCAAACCAGACTTAAACAGAGCAGACCCCAAACCTGACCCGTAAATTTCAGTCCAAGTAAGAACATAATATCCTTAATTAGAACCACACAAATTTTACTAAATCTGATATGAAACAATTTTAATGGTACGGACCGGACCGAGAAGGAAACAAGAGACAATCTTAATTATATGAATTTTAGTGTTACACATGCGGGAGAGTATGAAACAAAACAAATTTAATGATATAATGAAACAGAGAACTATATATTACGAGTATTATCAATTAATATGATTATTTGTGATGCGTGAAGGAGTGGATGTCGGTTAATGTTGGTCTACTTGTAGTGTCCAAGTCCAATAGCGTTTGGTCTGCTACAAAGAATCTTCATTTGCCCGCGTATTGACAACCTGTTTTGTGACGGCCGCGCATAAAACTCAGCGTATTTAACTCGCACTAAACCCTCCAATTTTTAAGCACATACTTAGTTACTTACTACCTCCGTCCAGCTCTAAATTTTAATCTTCCTATATACTGCTCTAGCTGCTTATTTAGTTAATTACAGTTTGACCCTCCCTATGCATAGCACAGGCAGAAGAATCAGGCGCTCTGAGGTTAATAAGTTTGATCCTCTTACTTAATAATTCATTGATAGTATAGCCTAAATGTATTTGGTGGCATGCAGGCCTTCTGGCCTTCGATTGTGATGAAGAAGTGGCTGAACATACAGCCTAAAGTGTACGACTTTAGCGAAGATGAGGTCGACACCGAGAGTGAAGATGATGGTACGTACTTACTTATCTAGTATATGTACGTACGTACCTTTAATGGAATCGTCGAAATATGAAAAATGAAAAATATTACGTCAATATCGTCTAAAAAGATTGTATTAAAAATTGCATCAAATAGCTATTTTCCGGCATTATTTTGAGTGGGACCCACTTCCGATTTGGACCGGATCAAAGTGGTTTCGAATTACCCTTTTGTAAGGAGTTCAATTCGATGTATGGTACACTCAGATCAAAATGGATAATGAGTGAATGAGAAATTGATTCTCGAAGTTCACTTGTTGAGATGAAGAAGTTGGAAATTTCCTAAGGTAGAACTAAATGTAGAATTACGATCGGATAATGGTCGTTCTAACCTCTCTTCGAACTGCTAGAGTTTCGAACGTTGCCTAATGGTTAGAAACTGAAAAATGTGATTAAAATATGGTTTAATTACATGGTTAATGACCCGAAACGTTCAAAACCATTACAACACAATAAGTGTGTGTTTAATTGGCGGTTTCACACAATAAGTGTGGTGTTGAATGCATATTTATTTAATACAAAGGCTTCTCCTCTCCTATAAAAGCTTAGCAACAAAATTTTAATTCAAGGTGGTGACAGAAGTGACACAACAAGTCAACAACAAGAGAGAACACACGACTTGAGCACACAAAATACTCGTTTGCATAATCTTGAAAGAAAAACTCTGCCACCTTTCCAATAAAACTCCCTGAGTTCTACATTTTGTTCTACTTCACTGGAACAACCTATTGAGTGCTCAATACGGTTGTTCATTAATCATCGTATCATGGAAAACTGACACTGCAACGCTTCTAGCACCGTATGAGGCAGTGAATTAGTTTTAAGGATAATGTGCGGTGCACACGCTTTGACTGAACCTGTGCCAGTTCTTTGTCTAGTTTCTTTGACCATTTTCTTAATTTCTTAATTTCTTAATTTCGAAAAATAAAAGAACAAGAAAAAAAACATTGTTTTCTCCTAAGTAGTTTCTTCAAATTCCTACATAATTTATGTGCAGCTTTGCCGGATAAAGATAAAAGGGACATTGAGGAAGATGGAGGCCTAGCATCACAAAGAAAGCCTTCCTCCCAATGCTCCATCCGAACCTCTGGCAAACCCTCAACCGACGTTTCACTAAAGCACAGGAGAGGGAAGTCTGAGACTCTACGCCTCCAGTACATCAGTAGGAAAGACGTGAGGTAGGAAAAGTTTCTTATTTATATGTCTACAATATTTTTGCTCCTTTTTTGTTAATTTAATTAGTTTGCTACTTACAATTCAAACTCAACCACGCAATTTGCACTTTGCATGCTCTCTAATTTGTTTGTGTCAATTAACGTTTGTCAAATTTTAGAAAAGAATTGCTGCGAACGGCATAAATAGAACTAATTATATACTCCCTTCGTCCCATAAAATAAGTCCCATTTTCCTTTTTGGGCCGTCCCAAAAAATTGTTCCCATTTCCCTTTTTGGAAAGTTTTGTGTGCCTAACATTCATTTACCTTTTTCTTACTCAACCACAATCATACATTTCCACTTTATTCCCACTTTCTTAAATTCCGATCCAAGTCAAAGTCGGACTAATTTTCCGGGACGGAGGGAGTATGTTTATTCTCAAAATATGATTCATTTGATCCTATTAAAGTCTCAAAATTTTCTAATTAAGAGTGAATGAGTCATGTTTTAGGAAGAAAGTAATGATGATTCTATCTGTTCACATTCTCAACCTTTAGTCCTATATAAGTAATTTTCACGAAGCTAATAAAAGTACTCCCTCCGTCCCGAAAAGATTTGTCAAATTGACTTTTCTTGGTCAACGACAATCAACTTTGACCAATGTTATTTTTTCTTAATACGGAATAATTTTAAATATAAAAATTATATCAAAATGTTCCTTATTTAAAATATTTTCATAAAAGTATAAAATTTATAAGTTATATATAGTTAAAATCATTGTCCAAAGTTTGCCATCATTGAACGAGAAAAGTCAATACGGTGAACCTTTTCGGGACTGAGGTAGTAATAAACAGTCTTCAAGTAGGATCATATACTCACCCAAGATATGTCACCTTAGCCTATATAGTTTGAAAATTAATGAGAAAGCGCGCAGTTCAGCTCACTAGTAGTTGGCTTACTCTTCCACAAGAGAAGTCTCGAGTTCAAAATTCTATGTAAACAGTTTCAGATCCTTTACGCCGGGTCCCCCTAAGTCCCTTGCCCAAGGTAAAAAAAAGTTTGATAATTAAGTCCTAAACGGAATCCAAAACACTTTCAGTCTTTGGATGTGTGTCTTTATATATTGAACCTGCATGATTTTACTAATTTTTTATTTTTGTGTATGTAGAGTTACAATAGGTACATGGAATGTTGCAGGGAGGCTCCCTGGTGAAGATCTTGAGATTGATGAGTGGCTTTGCATGAAAGCACCCGCGGATATTTATGTCCTCGGGTAAGATTTCTTAACAAACAACATTGTGTTGTGAATTCATGTGTATGTGAAGCACGTTTAGTAACACTCAAATTAACAGGATTTTTGATTTGTTTTGTCTGAATATGTTGAATTATGAAAATAACGCTCCGTATACTTTAAAACGTTTTTTTAAAAAATAGAAAAATGTAGAGTATATGAAAGTCAAAATTGTCCATTTCATCTAATCCAGATACAAAATTATCTCTAATTGCAATAATTTTGATGTACTATCTGAGAAGTCAATAAAAAGATCCAACAAGCACGTACTAATGTAGATTGTCTAATAATTACCGAGTATTGAAATACATATAAATGTGTTACATTATCCAACCATTACTTTTCAAAAAAGGTGGAATATCCCGTCCATGGAGCCCCCACATCCCAACCAGACAGTTTTTTGAAAGGATGTAAGTCGCGGTAACTCAATCGACGTTATCCAACCATTATAAACTCAAGGCTCACGACGCTCACTCCCTTAGCTTTCTTGTCCACTGTTTTAGGATTTGCCCACAAAGTTCTTTTCCTAAATTCATGATAAAATATAATCTGACCACAATATACATGTAATACTTCCTGAGCAAGTACCACTCGTGCTCGAAACCCGGCTGGACCATACAAACGGCAGGCTTACTGTTTACTCACTTTTAAAACAAAAAGAGCCTTTTATGCTTACATATTTTGAAGTATTTTGTATTAAGCTAGTACTCCCTCCGTCTCATTAGAAGGTTCTCACTTTCCTTTTTTGGACGTCCCGTTAGAAGGTTCTCATTTCCATTTTAGGAAACAATTAACAATCTTAAGTGATAAATTAATCATTAAATATTAAAAATAATACATTTATAACATCACAGTTATCAATATTAACTACATTATAGTATATACGTATTAAAATTAATTCTCAAAAAATACTTGAAGTACTTTATTTAATTATTGCCTAAATAATCGTGTCGTTTTACTATGGGAACCTTCCAACGGGACGGAGGTAGTAACATTTATGTCTACTTCCATGGTAACATAGTCATTTCTCTTCCACTCTTTCCGCTATATAAATATTTACGGCATGCACATGCATAGTTTTACCGGTCAACTTTGTTTTGCGGGTAAATAATGCATAATGTATTTGTCAAATTTCAATTGTGGCAATTAAAACATGGATAACTGGATAAGTGACCCCAGAAGAATTGACCACAGTGGTGTTGAATACGACTCTTAATTTTGATCAGGAAATACTCCTTCTGGCCCATGACGTCTAACATTGACCGATTATATGTTTATATAGAGAAAGTATTAATAATATGAAAATGATATGAAAATGTTCTTTGTTAAAAATACTATCATAAAAGTATAAAATTACTAAATTTTTCATAAATATATTAGTTTAAATATTTGGTCAAAGTTTACCACCTTTGACTGGAAAAGTCAAAGATGGCTAAGTAAATGGGAAATTTCAACAAAGAGGAGCAAAATTTACGGATTTTTCAGAACTAAGACCAAAGATCAGCGTAACACTCAACTACACATGCATTCACCACAATACCCTTACTTTTAGAAAATAACACACATTAAATAGACAATAAACAGACAATAAGTAGACAATAAACATCTCAGCCCCCCAGCCACCCCCAAACTAGTCTTTCTTCGTCTCGGGCGCATTCCAGTCCTCTCCAGACGGTGCACAGCTGCATAACATCATCCCAATCGTTTTCCATGGCATCTATTCGCACTTGAAGCAATAGATCTTATGTCAGACCCACCACAACTGCGTTACCCAGCACCCTAGCCATAAACCACGCCATAGCTTCCGGCATAAATCCAGATTTGGAAGAACAACGACGATCGAAGGAGACAGGGTGACATGCGGCGACGGTAGAAGCGGCAACATCCGGCGACGACGGAGACTGGTGGTGGTGACATCCGGCGACGGTGGAGACTGGCGGAGGCGACACCGGTGACGGCGCGACTGGCGGTGGCGACATCCGGCGACGGCGGCGACTAGCTGCAGCAACGCCCGGTGGCGGTTGGTGTAGGAGGTGGGGTGGTCACGCAGCAGGAAAGTGGATTGAAGGGGCTGAAGGGTAAAATTGTAAGGAAAAAATAGAGTTTCCTGAAATAGAATTAAATAAATCACACGGATGGAAAAAACAAGACCAAGTCCTATTTTTATAAACTTGCATTGATTTAGTCTTACAAAGAGCAATTTTCTCTAAGTAAATTGGGACGTAGGGAGTATGTCGCAATACTCATTGTACTAGTTGCTAGATGTGGTCGTTCACCGGATGGACCTAGGGCCATACAATGCGAGGAATCACATGATCACATTGAACCGAACAAATACCTTTACATCTAGGTTTCATTCTCAAAGGTCAACCTGATAGAAGTAGTAACTCAGATCTTAATATAGTGTTTAACTCTTTCAGAGATATTAGGTGTGAGACTTTAACACCCCTTCTCACGATCAGACACTATGTATGGATCATGCCGTCATTCATTTTTTATCGGTTCGTCATTGTCATTTTTTTAATAATCGTGCCATCATTTTTCATAAAGCCCCCCACACCATGGATCGATTTGGCTCTGATACTATGTTAAGATCTGGAGTTCCATCCTAAAAGGTCAACCTGATAGGAGGAGTAACTCATAGCTTAATATAGTGTTTAACTCGTTCTGAGATATCCGATGTGGGACTTTAACAAAATACTTATAAGAAAATTAAATACTTCACAAAAAATGGCAAATAAAATGTTCTACCTCCTTTTCCCAAATTAAATCAGTCTGACTTCACATATTTTTAGGTCCGATAGCATCACTATAACACTCCCAAGGAAAAGGTCACATATTCAAATCACATCTCAGTTCAAGAATGTTGACCTTAACATAGAACATGTCCTATATAGGTTAGAAAGAATTGCATGTCAAAAAAATTACTCTTAATATTTAAAGCTTGGTAGTAGTCCAAATAAGTTAAAAGAGGTAAATGAATAATAAAATAGGAGGCACATAAATGCTTTGAAGATGTAAAAACTTACCTAAATTAGAAATAAGTAAAATAAAAACTAATGTGTAACGAATTATTTTATTATCTATTAAAATAAACATTCTTTTAATTTCAGTGTAATATTATTTGTTGACACAAAAGCTAAATGTCTCATGTAATTGCTTTTATAAACGTAAGTCTGTTATGTTTTTATGTAAATGTAATATTGTTTGGTGCTACAAAAGTTAGAATTTTTCCACGAAATAATGCTAAATAAAAAAATAATTTCTAAAATACTGTTGGGTTAAAAGTAATTCCCAAAATACTGATGGATTAACCGTGGTTAAGGAAAGCTGACACTTGAAGTTGGGGTTTTTCTCATAAAGTACAAGAGACCAATAGCAGCTCACACAAGTAACCAAGATGTAATGCCAAAGCCAACCATATATGGTAATGGGTCTCACCAAAATTAAAAATCTCTTGTTTTCTTTCAAGTGTTATAACTTTTTTATTTGTATATTATCTTTCATAAGATCCCAATATTGGATATATAAAATCAAAAAATAAGATAACACTTTAAAAATTAATGCGTATCTGCTTTTAAAGGGTTACATATTTTTTATTTGTATTCCTATTATTACAAAAAATATATCAACATTTATTATTTTTTATTTTCTTTTATAGGGAAGCAATGTTTCATATAGAAAAATAAAAAGAAAATATATTAATTTGTGTAATTAGGATCGTTTTTTACCATGCACTCCAGATTTTATATATATTCAATATTGGTGTCATATGAAATAAAACATCATAAATTCTGAAAAAAAATATTACACAAATTAATATATTTTCTTTTTATTTTTCTATATGAAACATTGCTTCCCTATAAAAGATAATAAAAAATAATAAATTTTGATATTTGTAATAATTGGAATACAAATAAAAAATATGTATCACTTTAAAAACAGATACGCAGTGATTTTAAAGTGTTAACTTATTTTTTGATTTTATATATTCAATATTGGTGTCGTATGAAAGATAATAAAAAATTATGAATTTTGGTATATTTTTTACAATCAAAGTACAAATAAAAAAGTTATAACACTTCAAAGAAAACATGAGATTTTTAATTTTGGTGGGACCCATTACCATATATGGTTGGCTTTGGCATCACATCTTGAAAAAAAAAGATGACACCCCATGGTACGGACGGTACGTTGAGAGGATGTAAATTGGATTATAATCTCAATCCGACAGATAGAGAGTGAGGCTCTGTCCCCGGTACTTGCAGAGATCATATGCATATTTTAGCATAGTAACCTCTCATCGCAGTTGCCGAGATTCGAATGCAGGACCTAACCCTAGTGACACTCCCTCACTACCAGTTGAGCTACGCCCACCGGTTACATCTTGGTTACTTGCGTGAGCTGCATATTTTGTTAGAAAGCCGCCACTTCAAACGGCGGCTATCTTTAACCACGGTTAATCTACCAGTATTTTGGAAATTATTTTTAATCCAACAGTATTTTGAGAATTAAGTATTTATTTAGCATTATTTCGGGAAAAAAACTCCACAAGTTATACGAGTATGTTTTGTGTGAATATATTAACTTTGTCTAGTATATGAAACATGACGAACTTAGTTATATTTTAAATCTGAATCATTATCATTGAAGAAAAATAAGACAACGTTTGTACAGAGTTATAGAATGACCAAATACATACATATAAGAAATAGGTGTATATGATTTTTTAAATAATATTCCGTATAAAATATGTGTTAATATGTATAAATATAATATATTTTTGTGTAAATGATGAGACAAATGAACTTATTGGATTAAAATGTAAATTATGAATATAGAAAAAGAAGGTATTGCTCTAACAGAATTTATAAATTTGTCAAATACAAATAAGATCTTGTTTGAGATAAAAAAATCATTGTGAATTGATGAAGATGAAAATTAGATTGATGTGTATTTCAAGTTGAGTGAAGAAGAATAGAAAACGTGATTAGATCAGATATTTTTTAATATGAAGAAGAGGAAAATTTAAGAATGAAAAAACGTGAGGAGAAGAATACAAATCTACTTTTGTCAGAAAAGTTTTGCATCTTTGACGCAGTATTCTAGCTTTAGGCTATTTCTTGCCCGACTCTAACTTTGTTGTTTTCTAGCCGTAGCTATTCTAGCTTTTGTTTTCTTACGTTATTTCCTACAATTTGTCAACCGAGGAAGCTTGAAATATTGAAACTGAATTCACATTTAGCGTCACATGACGAGGAACGAACTAGGTAGTGATCAATTTTACACATGGGAAACATTATTCGTACACACTTTTTGTACACATCAGTACACATGATGGTGAATAAATTATAGAAATTGCTCAATATATGATTAAATCATATACAAAGTTCAATAATAGGAGTAAATATGTTTTATTCCCCAAATAGGACTTATAGTCCTACTAAGAGAATAAATTGATTAAAATATGAGTGAATGAGTCATATTTTTGAAAATAAAACAATCATATTTACGAATTTAGTGTTTGCTTTAGTTATATTTGGAGAATTTTTTCAATAAGTTGTTTTTTGTATGTGAATAACCAGAGACAAAACAAGTTCACAAACTTGGTGTACATGTTTTGTCTTTAATAGACTATTCACATACAAAAAATAGTCTCTTCACCGACATGTGTAGTGATGTACAAAAAAGTGTGTACACCATATTTGACTAATTTTACACATTTTACACTACACATTTCACACTACACGGTTTTTATACACTTTTGTGTACACCACCCTTTTTATCTGTGTACATAAGCAATTCATTTAAAAAAGTTAGAAATTACATCTGTATACAAGTGAGTGTACAAACATTATACACTCTTTGTGTAGAACAATAATTGCTTAAGGGTATGCTTGAGAGTTGAGTTTTGGAGGGGAGCGGATGGTTACAAGGGTTTATGCCCCTCCCTTTCATGTTTGGGAGTTAAAAAATGTGAAGGAAATGGTTTTGGAAGGCTTTTGTAACCCTCCAAAACACTTCAAATGCTCAATTTTCAAGTTCCCCCAAATTGAGGAATTTTGAAAGATAATTCATTAAATGACAATTTTAGTTCAATTTTAAATAAATATAAACTCAATTATATGAATTCGTCGTGAAGTGATTTTAATTATAAGTCATCCAAAACATTTATCTTTTCAAACTTGATACTCCCAGAAAAAGGGTTTCTAACTCTTTCTCTCTCGTTTCTTTCTAATGACTAACTTCAAAACCATCCCCTCCCCTTCCCTTCAAACATCCAAACATACCATATTTCCAAATTTGTGCTTATGCTTTTTTTTGCAGCTTTCAGGAGGTGGTACCCCTAAATGCTGGGAATGTGCTGGGGGCAGAAAACAGAAGGCCCATTACTAAATGGGAAGCCACTATTCGCAGAACACTGAACCAAACTATTGGGCCTGAAACGAAGCCCAAGAGTTACAGCGCTCCTCCCTCTCCAGAACTCAGGACTTCTACTCCTTTAGATATAATTGCAGATGCGGACATCGAAGACCCTTCATGTATGGTTACAATTCCGAAGAATCTAAGCTTGAAGCGGGGTTTGGATTGGCCCGAACTTCCTCTGGATGGAACCCCCCAACTTCTTCCGTCAACCTTCAAGCTTAGAAGGGTTCTGAGCAGTTGTGCGCGGGTTGGTTTTGAGGGTCTGGATAATCCAGTTTCATTTGGGCCTAATGGATTGGGTCTTGACGGGCTAAAAAGAGGGAACCATAGCTCTGGAGACTTGGAGTCTTTGTGGACGGACAATCAACCGGAAGTTCTTGACTGTCTTACTGATGTCTCTGATCAATTCTCTGAAGAAGACGATGAGGACGGATTTGGGGATTTTCCGGTGGTTAGTGAAGAAAAAGGTGCTAGCTTCTTAAAGAAATCTCGTCCAATGTATGTTCGAATTGTGAGTAAACAGATGGTCGGGATCTATGTTTCGGTTTGGGTACGAAGAACATTGAGAAGGCATATCAACAACTTGAAAGTCTCTCCTGTAGGAGTTGGACTGATGGGATACCTTGGTAATAAGGTACTTACTCATTGTTTGGTTGTTTCTGAGTTTAGACATTTTGATGATCGAATGAAATGGATCATAAAACCTGAATTGGAAACTCAAAAAAATTCTTCAAGAAATGTGTTTGATGGACTATTCACATGGAGCTGCCAAGCCAGAGTTTTTCTCTATATTAATGAGAAATAGGCAATATACATGAGAATGAAACAATTGTAATGACAATATACAATCCTAGAACTAAAGAAAAAGAGTGTGCAGAAACAGCATGACCATGAATGGACTCCGAACTCCTGTAACTCCCTAGTGAGTTGGATCCTCGTTATTGAGTTCTATTTTTTCTAGTACCATTTGGATTTGGTGACCACTTTCTGCTGCCCAATATCACTAACCATGACCTACAATTACAACTACATCATTGATAATAAGTCAATGAACAGAGAGTAGATGACTCACCAATGACCATCATTAGAATTCAATGACTAGGGTGTCTCGATGGCTCACTAATGTCCATCATTACCAGTCACTGACTACGGAGTCACTGCCTCACTACCTGACCGAAGGTGATCGGGGTGGTTAGTCAATGATCGAATATAATGGTTGACATTGGACTATTGGAGTGTGAGCCACGACGGTTATTTAGTTAATCATATTACTCACTACTTTCATCGTAAACTTTTCTTTTTACTTTCACTTGACATGCTTATTCATAAGTAAATTATGTAGTTGAGATTTAGTTATACAAACTGAGATGTAATTTTAGAAGAGTCTAAAAAGATAATGAGGATGAAATTTCAGTACGAATTGATTACCATAAACTCTTTAGATAGTTTGAAAAGATAACTCATGGTTGAGTAGTAAAAATATAAGGATCATTATGTCTAGTCCTGCTAAACAAGCCTGTCAATAACAAATGTTTGATGTTAATTGCAGGGATCTGTTTCGGTGAGCATGTCTCTTTACCAGACAAAGCTATGCTTTGTCTGCTCACATTTGACATCTGGACAGAAGTGGGGTGCTGAGCAGAGGAGGAACTCTGATGTGAATGAGATCTTAAGGCGCACCAGCTTCTCCTCATCGGTGTTTAAATCAGAAACTGATTATCCTCCTCCCCTAACAATCCCATCTCACGAGTAAGAAAATGGCTTATCGTACTCGAGCTACCTACTTGGTCCGGTCGCTTAAAGTTTGATCTGGTTCTAGTTGTAATATATTATGTGTTGCATGTTTTGTCCGGTTTAATGACTAAAATAAGTTGAAGAAAACCCGTTAAGTCATGTACTTGATCTGTTAACTTATTTCATTTGCCCCTAAAAATCACATATTTTGACTTCTTTCTAAAAATTATCCTCCATTTCTTTTTAAGGGAAGGGTTATGTGCTTTATGTGACTTGTTTTTTGTAAGGATATATTCCAATCACGGCGTTTTCATTTTGTTAAGCTCCATCATAGGACGAATCAGGTGTCTCTTTAGTAGGGACAAGTAGCGTATTTTATAATATGAAAGAGCCATTGACCTAATTGTTTCAATATATAAATATATTTTCGAAATATTTAACAAACTTTTATAATTCGATTTTATGTTCGGTATCTATTTTATCTAAACATCTTGAATTTTAATATAACATAGGACCTTGATTTCATGCCAAACAGTCAGATATTCTGGTTTGGAGACTTGAACTACAGAATCAATCTAGCAGATGCCAAAGTAAGAAAGCTTGTTTCAAGAAAGCAATGGGGTGAACTCTTGGACCATGATCAGCTCACCAAGGAGCTCAGGAGTGGATGTGTGTTTGAAGGTTGGAAGGAAGGAGCTATTAACTTCGCTCCAACTTACAAATATGAATTCAATTCAGATAGATATGTGGGGCAGAGCGTGAGAGACGGCGAGAAGAGAAGGTCGCCTGCATGGTGAGGTTTAAGTCACGTACATTATGCATTTTTTATATTGGGTCAGGTTGGCCCCGAAGTTAGGGACTTAGGGCAACTCTTTCCTAATATTGTAATGTGACTTCTTTTTCCTTTAGAGCTAACCCCATCAGTGACTCCAGTCTAATATAATGACTATCCAGCTCAACCAAACATAATTTCTTCAATCTTTCCCAGTCATAGGCTCAAATAGCTTTGATGTTGCAGGTGTGATCGTATATTGTGGTTAGGGAAAGGCATCAAGCAGATTTCTTACAATAGGACAGATATAAGATTATCGGATCACCGACCTGTGAGTTCCATGTACGTGGTGGAAGTAGAAATCTTTAATCAGCGGAAGCTCCAACGAGCTCTCAATGTTAATTCTGCTGCGATACATCATGATAAGTTGGTTCAATGACATAGATGAATCACCGAAGTTAGGCCTTTAGAAAATTATGTTGGCGCAGTTTTATACTCCTGTGATTTTTTCATTCGTCAAGTAACAATACTTGTTGTAGATTATACCACAAACTTAACACGTAAATAGTTATAGACTTATAGGTATTCATGGTAATATTGTACAACTTAGTCTAGATTATCTCTATTATTACAAAAATGTAAACTCACCAGGCAAATACATAAGGTAAAGCTAGAATCACTCATGGCAATAATATAACATTTAGTCAGCACATAACAATATTAGGTATGTTATGCAACATCATTTCTTTAATTTCTTTATCAACAAATGCGCTACATCAAATAAAGCCATTGCATTACTTGTTCTTGTCTATGTAGCATACATACATTAAAGGGGCAAGTTTATGTAGCTTCATGACATCATTGTTGTCCTCGCAAAATGGAGATCACTTGTTTGAGTCACATTCTAATCGGGAATGTTGACATTATCGTTGAATAGATATTATAATAAGTTAAAAATATTGCAAATCACATACATGATACATCAATGTATGTGTTCGTGGATGTATGAATATGACATTATGACAATTGTATGAATTTTCCAATACTAGTATACAATAATAGAACATAACATCCAAATAATTTTCAATAAAAAGTTGTGTGTGAATAAAAATTCACACAATTCTTGTATATTTCAGGACATGCATGCAATAAGTTGTCAATGTTAAAGTCATAATTTGAAGACAATAAAAATTTTAATTATGAAGAAAAATATATAATTCGTATTTTGTAATGTCACATAATCACATTGTTCTTATCATTCTAAGCGGCCAGCAGCTAGTGTTTCAAGTTGTGTTTGCCGCCTAAGTGCGGCTGTTCTAAATTGCTGAACGGCGGTCTTCTCGTGCCAGGATCTAGCGGCTGCTAGGTTTTTCTCAACGTCAATCTATTCGTGTGAATTATGTTTCTACTGGTCTTGAATTCTCTTATCTGCTTAATTCTCTAAACGGGATCAAAGACAACATGTAGCTCTACAATTTCTAGATTTGTTTTGTGCTACAGCTTCCTTAAATTAGTTGAGATGGTTCCTGATATTACTTTTTTACTTTCCCTTTATAACATTAATGTATTGTTAGGGTTTTTTAGTTCCGTAAATAGCATAAAAGAGTTCATTAAAATAAGAGTTTGTTTTTTGAAAACAGATAACTTAATTATTATTAAAATTGAGGACCAGATACAAAATCGTCATAACAAAGGCTACATTGGAGTGAGACTCAGAGCTGGAATCGCGCTTACTAGCGGTCCATCTCGCTAACCCCACAATGTGGTAGACTCCATACACAGCACTGCTGTACCTGCTACTATTATGGTAATAAGAGAGCAAAGAGTTCGAAACTAAAAAAGAAATTGAAAAAGAACATAGTCCAGTTTGACCAGCCACTGCCAAGGGAATAGTGATTTGACCAGCCTTCGCTAAAGGAAAGAACTGCATATTCTCCTCTTCTCCCGCTACTGGCGGTGCTGTCCAGCCAGCACCGCCACTTCCAAGTTTTTTGAGGAAGCTTCATCAACATCCATGCTCGTCTGAGTCCCCATCTCGCTATCTTTATCAATGATCCGACGCTTTCTAGGCGTATCCCATTCTGTAGTAGCCTCTTTCCCCTTTGCCAATAATCCTTCCACCAGATATCTCATGTTCCCCTGTCTCTTGATCAGAATCTACTATTTTTCCCTGCCTATCACCCGGTTTGTTGATACTAGCTATAAGCCATCTATTTCCGGGGTGCATTCCTCGGTTCCTCCCCTCCTCATATCTGCTCGAAGCCACGGCCCATAAGGCTTCTCTCCAATTCCCAACCCACTATGCGGATTAGATGGACAGAATCGATCAACATGGCCAAGAATCCCACATAGAAAATAGAAGTCCGGGAGTGTCTCATATTTAAAGTTTTCCCAAATCAAGCCATCTCCTTCCTGTCTAACCTGTAAACGCCGGGTTAAAGCCAAGTTAACATTCAGAGTGACCCTTATGCGCATAACCGGCCTTTGCCTTCCTCCAGAGTAGCTCTCATCCATTTGCACAAATGTACCAATGATGTTGCCTATGCCCCGTGCAGCCCTTGCCGTCATGTAACTTAGCGGTAAATCATGAACCTGAATCCAAAAGTCCGCATGGTGCAATTCAATTTCCAAAGGTTTATCAGTACGTTCCAACCGTTTGATCACCACCAGATTCTGCTCAAAAGACCAAGGCCCTTCGTCCACAACTCTGTTCAGGTCTCCTTCATGATAAAAATGTAGCAAGAATTTTGAGTCCCCGATTTCATCTATGGAGACCCCTTTCACTGGTCTCCATACCATAGCCATTGTTTGACAAAAGGAGACAGCCCGAACAGGTTTGTCAGATACCACTCTGGCCAACGCCGCTAGATTAAACCCCTTCAATTTCCCATCTTCGTTCTCCAATGGGTTAGCCGCAATCACTAATCCCCTGTTTTCTTCCTCGACTATTGAAAGCAGATTAACATTGCTCAAGACCAAATCCATTTCAAGCCAAATCGAAAAAAACACCAGCTCAATACAAAATGGAACAAAACGTGAAACAAACAAGACCTCGCAGCAACACACTACATTCACCGCAGTAGAACAAACCACCAGACCAAAACCAGAGAAATTACACAGAAAACCTCGGCCAGAATCTAAAATAAGAGTTTGCTAAAATCATAATATAATATTATGAAAAGTTGAAATTGTTATTACCAAGATGTAGAGATTTAGATATTTCAAGTGTTGTAATTTTCATACGGAGGAACCATATGCTATAATATTCATTTGTTCGGCGAGTAAATTGGTATTACTTTCTATCACAAATTGGTATGAGAATTGTAGTTCAAAAAAAAAAAAATATAATATACGGAGTATGATATAAATGGGCTAATAATATATAATAATGGGCTAATCAAATTTTCTTTCTATGATTACATCGCAAATGAAATGAGTGTTGTCTGAGTTATGTATCCAACCTTATTCTATTTCAGTAATAAAATGAAGCATGAGTCCATTTTATTACTATTTCATGTGTAATTAATAAGTCGAAATGAAAATATCGAAGTAGGTATATGAGTAAACCCAATTATAGTACTCTCTATCCCTTTTTAGTCAGGGCATACCACAAGTTATCACAATAATGACCAAGGCAAGCGTTAAATTAAACACGATCGAATAGAAGATGAATGCTACGGTACCCATCGAAAAAATGAGAGTAATATCATAACTTTTTATATTTAATTAAATTATTCAATTATGTTCTAATTGGTCCATTTGGACAATGCATCAAATTAAACCTTGAGTGTACCATAAAATTTGCTTTATAATACTCCTTATAAAAAATTCCACTTTTGTTCTCACGAATTTTATATCCTACTTCCACATTTAGTCCATTTTTTTCAGTTTGTCCACATTTAGTCCGTTACCATTTTCACCTCACTACCCGTCGTCCTTCCGGCCAAAATTCCGACAATTTCAATCCTGTAAGAATTATAATGACAAACATGAAGGGTAGTTTAGTCATTTTAGATACTTAAAACAGCTACGTGCTAAACTAAACTCCAACCTAATTAAATTCTCTCCCTCTGACCTGTACTTTGAACGGAGGGAAATGTCTTCGTCTACCAGCGCCAGAAAGGTAGTGCTGAAGAAATAAAAGAAGAACGCTGGTGCGGAAGTGCGGAAGAAGTCGGGAAGAAGAAGCGCCGCTCGACCGAACCAGTGAAGCGCCAGCCACCAGCGCCAGCACGCAGCACGGCACTGCGGCACCACCGCCACTCTACCTTTAACAGGTTTAATTAAAATTGCCAGAATTTTGGCCGGAAGGACGACGGGTGGTTAGGGGAAAATGGTCACGGACTAAATGTGGACAAACTGAAAGTAAGGGACTAAATGTGGAAGTGGTATAATAGTATGAGACCAAAAGTGGAATTTTTTCTACTCCATATTGTATACAAGGTTCAGTACTTTGAGTCACATAGTATTGGCAAATGAAATATTGATATTCATGACATAGATTGAATATCTAGAGTTTTAAATATCGAACCAAAGAATCATGGGTCACTACTTAATTGATATCATAAATATCTTTTTCATGTCTTTCTAAAACTACTCGAATGTAATAAATTATCCAATTATCTGATTCCTTAAAACTATTTTATCTCTATTCATTCTAACTTCTTATTATACGTGAATTGATTGATGAACGTATCAGATTGTAATGATATATGATAAGAAGAAGGAAATTGCAACAAAATACACACACACATATAATCAATAATTGTTGATCAATCGAGATGGCTAGGCAAAATATTTATGGAAGAACTAAGAGAATATCCATAGCAATGCGAAGAAGGCGCACAAGGGCAGAAGAGGCACTAGTGCATCTTAGAATGTCTTCAATAGCATTTGACATGTTATCCACCGCAAAAGCCACAGGCTTAACATCATATTTCAACTTCTTGATCGCTTCCATGATATCATGTACTAGCCTTTGATGATCATTCGACTTGGGGCCACATACCCCTTCCATGGGAATACCACCACTCTCACTTACCACCTTGGACAAGGCCTTCTCTAGTATGATCACACCAAACATTCTGATGTCTCCGGTCTCACTCCGAGGATCGGATATTAGCACCGACGCGCAAAGATCTCGAGCTCTCGTGAGCGTGCATGCATCCTCTATCGCCTCGGTTATGTTCGTTGCAGATTGTTTGGAAGAGGCATGATGCACAATGGAGAGGGTGGCGAATATGATGCAAAATGGTAGCAGGGCAAATGAGGAAGACTTCATTTTGAATAGAATGCTGCCTCTTTGATTTGTTATGAAGGAATTAATAAACTACTCTCTATCATGTAGTAGCTAGTGTGAGTGGTATAAATAGAGTGATGTGTGAAGTGTGATACTCCCTCCACCCTTTTTTATTTAGCCAAATTTGACTATTCAAGTCAATAATGTCTAACTTTGATCGATTACATATTTAACACATAAGTATTGATCATATGAAAATGGTATAAAAATGTATTTTGTCAAAGATACTATCATAAGAGTATAAAACTATTAAATTTTACATAAATATATTAGTTAAAATAATTAGTCATATTTTATCATTTTTATTTAAAAAGTCAAAGATAACTAAATAAAAAGGGACCAAGCTAGTAGAATTTGACCTCAAGGAGGAGGCTATGCCAAAACCACACAAAAAGACCAGGCCACGGCATACATGACAAAATATACTTAGTACGGAGTTGTATATACTCACTCCTTCCCTAAATAAAAGTCCCTCTTTCTTATTTTAGGTCGTCCCTAAATAAAAGTCATCTTTCCTTTTTTGGCAAACAAAACAGTGCAAAACAATGCAAAACAATGCCAAATAGGGTTCAAACAGTGCCAAAGAATCATACTTTCTTAAATTGTGTGTAAAAAGAATGAGACTTTTATATAGGAACGGAGGGTGTATAAGGGTTTGCTATTTTAATCACGTAACTTGTATTTATTTGAAAGAGCCATTTGTCCACTAAACCTACTTTTATATTTGGTGTAGTAACGTAACTGATAAATTTGTACGAAGTACTATCGTATATATTATGGACTTTCTGATGAGGAAATGCATTTTGAATGGAAAAGTCCTTGTAGATAATTTTCTTAGTTATAGTACGATATACTCCCTCCGTCCCGTTCGAATGTTCCTTTTTGGTAATGAATACCAAAGGAGCATTTTGAATGGAAAAGTCCTGACTATGTAAATTTTATTTACTAAAAATAAGCGGAGTGTGAACATGGATCGAGTTGCTTTATTGTTAGTCAAGCATCGTAAACCGAACGGGAACATTCCAACGGGACGGAGGGAGTATACAGGTAAGTAAAGTTGTAGGACAAAAAATAAGCACAATTAAAATTGTAATCGAGTTAAATCTACAACTTTCTCAATAAGACACAAACGGTGCGTCAAGTTTGAAAGTTTTATACACAAATGATGGTTTTTCTCCTAACATATTTTCTTATCGGTTATAAATATTTTTAAATGACCGGGCAGAAGCTTTTTTTTTTTTCATTTTCGTAAAGCTTTATTTTGTTAAGATCAACTATCTTGAATTGGGATGAAATTCGAATCATGTGACCTCCTATTTAGAAGTTTATTAGTTCTCAATTCTCATCACCGCAAGATATTGATACTTGATAGTTGGGCGGGGCGGAAGCTTGATCATTCTAAAAGTTAAAGTGCTAAACTATAAAATTCCTTTCCCAATAACCCCTATATGTTATATCAATCATTCTTGATGTAGACACCCTTGTACACACCTTATACACATCATGTTTGTGAAACTTTTTTTTTGTCTGTGAATCCGGTTCACAGACAATATTTTGTTTGTGCAAAACATTGTCTGTGAATCGATATTCACAAACAAAAAAAAACTTTCACAGACATAGGTGTGTACAAAAGTGTGTATAAAAGTGTGTACAAACATCATTTTTGATGTTATATTGTGGTGTATGTCAGTATGTGTCGTTAATTATTGCATTATTACATTCTTGTAATATAAAAAGTAATTCGTGCATGCAATCTTGAACACAAATTTTAGCAATTCTTAAATAAGTCAATCGTGGGTTTCGGGTTGGCAATTGAATGTCTAATTAATGGGCCCCATGTTATTCATGTACTCCTCATGATGTTTAGAACGTGTTCTTTGAATTTATTGCTAAAACATTCCTTTGTGAAAACAAGACTAAAAGTTGTTCACTTTGCACAAGTAGGATAAAAAAGTAAACAATGTTTTGATAGGACTAATTATTTGTGTGTTGCACAAATATATCCTTGTTGTTATTGAAATGTTTTAATTCAAAATAAAAAAATAATAAAAGTTCGTAAAGAATACTAAAAAATTAATAAAAATATTTAAATAATAATAATTAAAAAAATTTAAAAAAATTAATTTTTAATAAAAATAAAAACAAAAAAACAAATATCAGGGCCGCCTCTACCGCCCAGCACCACCACCTCCAGTGACCAGGGGGAAAATGCCAAATCCATTACGAATGCCATATTTATGGCAAATTTAATGAAAATATTGGCATTCTCAAAGAGTAATATGTCATTTTTTTTTCATTTTGAGAAAATTGAAAGTTTTTAGAAAAGTGACATTTTTTACACCGATCGGAGGTGGTGGTGCAGGAAGGCAGTACAAGCGGTGGGAAAGGCATCTAATTAAAAAAAACTAAAATAACAAAAAATGCTAAAAAACATCACCTTTGCCTCTGCCGCCCCCGCACCACCATCAACGGGGAAAACAATTCAACATGCATTAGGAATGCCATTGTTGGTTCAAAATAGGACGCTTGTAGGCTTTTAGGAAAGCTACGTAAGAAAAATCCCAATGGGAAAAATCCTAATGAAGAGAAAAAGAGTACATCTGACAATCCCAAGATGAATCAAGAGGTGAGATCCTCAACCTTTATTGCAATGCTCGCCATCTGCGAATAGGATGTCTATAATTGTTCTTCTCGTCGGGCCGAGACTCGTCAAGTTTGTCATTTGCTTCCTTGAAGACGGTAAGACCCTCGGTCCCCCACTTCATTTAGTTGTACCTACACATAAAAGAAACTAGTGTAGAATAGAGCATCCGGCCTGGTGTCGAACCACGGCTAAATGTGCAAGTGAGTCGGACTCACTACTTGAAAAGAGTGACATCAAGTTCTCAAGTTAGGCCACAACCCAGTCTCCGAAAGAAAGATTGAATCTGCGAGTAAGTGAGGCGGACTCCTCACTCGAACGGATAATCTAACCCCAAAGAACTAAAGTATATCAACCTTTTCGAGAAATGTGAATGTCAATTAAGTGACAAAATTGCTCGGAAGAGCATGACTCTAGGCCCCTAACAATATCTTAACTCGCCGCCCGAGGTTAGTAGTTCGAACCCGTAAGTAAAAACTTTTGAATGGGTGACTCGTCCCCCGAGGTCGGAGTGTGATGCACTTGGAAAGGGTAAGAGCATGCAAGAACTCGCATGAAGTCAAGAGTGTGCGGTATTAACATTTATATTGGAGCTTATTAATCGCCACACCTATATGACGTTACCCGGTGGCGCGAGTGTGTGTGCTCGGGCAGTGTACGAGTGTGTGTGCTCGTCCGGTGTACGTGAGTGATCGGATTTCATAAGTCCGTTTTTCAATGTTAAAATTACACACGCTTAATAAGAGTAAAGCAGTTATATCACTTAAGATATTTTTTTTTTCATTTTATATTTTTTGTAATGACTGTTTATCAAAAATCGAATATATGGAGGAAATTGTCATGGTACTTATCTTTCAAATGGGGCTCAAATTGTTAACCCTCTTGGATCATGGCCCAATTTGACTGGGTCAACAAAAGCTGGCCGCTCTTCTGTTTTGCAGAAATCGAAAGGCTCAACATAGGAAAGATAAGCGGTCGTGCCCAAGGGGAGTAGGGCCCTTCGCATCTCGTCGCCGCAGCGTGACCAATGGAGTCTTGACCAGAGCTTCATAGAGTCGTGCACGACTTTTGGGAGGTCTTACATGGGGGTGTCAGAACCTCCACCATCGGAACATATCAGGTTGACTCCTTGCGAAAACGGCAACTATGGATTTGGGTTCACAGGGGACCATCACAGCGGCAACGGAGAAAGAAGCAACAACCTTGAATTTTCTCCGTGATGACATCAAGCTGCCATTAATGGCAGATGGCGAGCTGCGTGGTGGCGAAGTGATCTGCTTGTTGCCGGACTGGTTAGATCTGGCTGCTTCCCCTGGTCAGCTGAGTCCCAGCTTCGATTTTGACATAAACCTCAGCTGTGACCGCCATCACCTATTTTTCCATTTTTGAAATCCAGAATTCAAATTCCTACTTTTTTTTTTCTTCTGAACAAATTCCACCAACCACCTATTTTTTCTCTCGAATTTTTTGTTGATTCCTACTAGAGTGATGCGAGGGAAAATAGAAGGCTCTCAATGAAAGCACCAATGTTGGTCCAAAATAGGACGCTTGTAGGCTTTTAGGAAAGCTAAGTAAGAACACTCAAACAGGAATTACGAAAATAATGCAAATAAGGAAAGAAGCTAAAAGTGTTTAGTTGCCAGAAATAGCATGTAGAATTCCTTTCCTTTAATCTAAATTACAACCCGCCTTTTATAAGCGTATACAAATCGTAACCGCTATCGATAATAATGACTAATTAATTACAACATTAATACGGAATTAAATACATAATTAATAGCACATTAATTGCTTGACCGTTACTCTTCCGGGTTGGGAGGTCGGTCGGACTAGCAGGCTTCCCGCTGGACTGGCAGGCAGGCTCAAGGTTGTGGACCTGGATCCACGAGTCCAAGTTCGGGGCTTGGGCTGATTAGGCTCTGGGCCTAGTTCTATAACTCCATCAGCCATATTTATGGCAAATTCAATGAAAATTTTGGCATTCTCAAAGAGTAATATGTCATTTTTTGGCATTTTCCAAAAAATGACGTTTTTACACCGATCAGAGGTGGTGATGCAGGGAGGAAGTACAAGCGTGGGAAAGGCATCCCTATTTTTTAATTGTTTTAATGGAGTTTTTAAAAAAAATTAAAAAAAAATTATTTTATAAATATTTTATTAATTTTATTATTATTTTTCTACGATGTTTAAATTTTTTTTTTGAATTTATTATGATTTAAACATTTAATTATGACTTTGACTACCTTTCACTCATATTTAAAGAAGGGGGTAAGAATGAAATGAAAAAATAGGTATGTTTCCAATAGGAATAATATGGTCATATTTTGGAATAAAAACATAACAAATCATATTTTTGGGTTTTGCCATAATTTTACTCGTATTTGGAGT